GGCGGCAACCGCAGCAAGAAAAGCTACTCGATGATGTCGTCGAGCGGGCAACAGAAGAGTTCGACGGGTCAGCCGTCGTCTTACAACAACGACAAGATGTCCTCGTCCCTGATCAAACCGCCGTACTCGTACATCGCCCTGATCACGATGGCGATACTGCAGTCGCCCCAGAAGAAGCTGACGCTCAGCGGGATCTGCGAATTCATAATGTCCAGATTCCCCTACTACCACGACAAGTTCCCCGCCTGGCAGAACTCTATCAGACACAATCTGTCGTTGAACGACTGCTTCATCAAGATCCCCAGAGAGCCGGGTAACCCGGGGAAGGGCAACTACTGGACCCTGGACCCGTTGGCCGAGGACATGTTCGACAACGGCAGCTTCCTGCGACGTAGGAAGAGGTACAAGAGGCCTCCGCCGCATTACGTCTTGCGGGACAGGGCTATAATGGCGACCTTCGCCATCTGCGGCGATCGGGGACCCTGCCCGGGAAGCGGCGGCGGACACCCGGGTGCCCTGGCTTATCCCAGTGCCGCGTACCTGTCTCCGCCGCCGGGTTTACCCCTGTTGGACTTCTCTCCCTCGACGTTGGAGGCCCTGAAGCTTGGAGGCTTCCTGGAACCACCCCCGCCGCTGTACAAACCGGTGCCCATCACGGCCCCGCCGATGAGGCAGCTGGACCCGACTCCCACGAGGACCACTACGATACCCAGCAGCCATCCTCCCGTGGAGAAGAAGAGGAACTTCAGCATCGACGCTCTGATCGGCAAACAGACGGCCAGTGATCAGAACTGCGGAGGTTTGCTGGATCTCAGCCCGTCGGAACACAGGGAGATCAGAAGTCAGGCGTCAGCCTTCTCGCCTTTGGTCTAGGAGACCGGTCTACTCTTGAAATCTTGCATTCGAAAGGATATTTTTATCGTTTTATCGTTGGGGAACACAGGTGGCGGAGGAACCTGAGGTCCAGGTTCTTCGGGACGGATGGCGACGATTTGAAGGTTTGTTATCAGTTGGAGTTAACATATCGGACTCAAACCTACCTCTTCAACATTTACAGACTGGTTGCCACTGCAAACAGTGATACCATTTGAAAGTGACGAGAACGGTACTAAGGGACGATAGATTCGACCTTGAAGAGAAGATTAAACACGTTGCCGGCGGCAACCGCAGCAAGAAAAGCTACTCGATGATGTCGTCGAGCGGGCAACAGAAGAGTTCGACGGGTCAGCCGTCGTCTTACAACAACGACAAGATGTCCTCGTCCCTGATCAAACCGCCGTACTCGTACATCGCCCTGATCACGATGGCGATACTGCAGTCGCCCCAGAAGAAGCTGACGCTCAGCGGGATCTGCGAATTCATAATGTCCAGATTCCCCTACTACCACGACAAGTTCCCCGCCTGGCAGAACTCTATCAGACACAATCTGTCGTTGAACGACTGCTTCATCAAGATCCCCAGAGAGCCGGGTAACCCGGGGAAGGGCAACTACTGGACCCTGGACCCGTTGGCCGAGGACATGTTCGACAACGGCAGCTTCCTGCGACGTAGGAAGAGGTACAAGAGGCCTCCGCCGCATTACGTCTTGCGGGACAGGGCTATAATGGCGACCTTCGCCATCTGCGGCGATCGGGGACCCTGCCCGGGAAGCGGCGGCGGACACCCGGGTGCCCTGGCTTATCCCAGTGCCGCGTACCTGTCTCCGCCGCCGGGTTTACCCCTGTTGGACTTCTCTCCCTCGACGTTGGAGGCCCTGAAGCTTGGAGGCTTCCTGGAACCACCCCCGCCGCTGTACAAACCGGTGCCCATCACGGCCCCGCCGATGAGGCAGCTGGACCCGACTCCCACGAGGACCACTACGATACCCAGCAGCCATCCTCCCGTGGAGAAGAAGAGGAACTTCAGCATCGACGCTCTGATCGGCAAACAGACGGCCAGTGATCAGAACTGCGGAGGTTTGCTGGATCTCAGCCCGTCGGAACACAGGGAGATCAGAAGTCAGGCGTCAGCCTTCTCGCCTTTGGTCTAGGAGACCGGTCTACTCTTGAAATCTTGCATTCGAAAGGATATTTTTATCGTTTTATCGTTGGGGAACACAGGTGGCGGAGGAACCTGAGGTCCAGGTTCTTCGGGACGGATGGCGACGATTTGAAGGTTTGTTATCAGTTGGAGTTAACATATCGGACTCAAACCTACCTCTTCAACATTTACAGACTGGTTGCCACTGCAAACAGTGATACCATTTGAAAGTGACGAGAACGGTACTAAGGGACGATAGATTCGACCTTGAAGAGAAGATTAAACACGTTGCGTGTAAAAAGACGTGGATGGAAGTCGAGTAATTGTAAAGAGAGAGAGAGAGAGAGAAGTGTAGTGCAATAGTGTAGTGCTTTGTTTATCGTATCGAAAGCACCGATTTCGCTCTAACGAACGATCACTTAGCGTACATACGTCCCTGAAGCTCGATCCTCGAGGATCGACGTTTCCGACCCTGCTCTTTATTTTTGTCCGTTCTGCTGTTAGCCGAAGAAGTAGCTTGTGCGTGTTGGCTCGTTTGTAAACGATCGATTAATATCGGCACTGTAAATACACACACAGACACACACGTACACGTACACAGACACACATACACACTCCCGAACAAATCTTTGCTCAGCTTTCTATTGTTCGACAGGGTGAGAGAGTGGGAGAGAATGGCGGAGCGACAGAGAGAGAAAGGGGATGTGTCGTTTCACGTGAAAACGCGATGCTCGATCGAAAAAGGTCGCGTTTCTCGATCGGGTACACGGTTTCCGGTGTACATAGTGCAATGCTTATCGAAGAACGACCTAACATTCGAGTTCCCGACGTACCTCGTCGTTTGTCTGCGTCGATGCAACACACGGTTTCTTGGAAATCCTCCTTATCGTTTTGTTTTCTTTCTAAATTGCGCTCTTCGCTATGCAAACGGTGCAGAGGGATTTGCTTTGTTTCGTATTGCCTTTCCGTTACGAAACGGTCTTGTAATTAGAGATAGGAGCAAATCTGAACGTTCTATGCTTCGGGACTCTCACATGTAGGGTCTCTGGGTTTTAGAACTCTTTCAGATCACAGAACTCCTGGAGTATACTCATAGAATTATTTTATTGTGGGTTCTTAGGATTTCTAGATCCTAGTGTCCCATTCTCAAACTCTAGGGACCCTAGATTCTAAGGTTCCTATAGGGAATTTACACTTATTTGCAAAATCACAAAGTCGATTGCGAAGTCCAATATTCGGTTCGGATTCCTGTTGTGTTTATAAAAATAACACTTGTTATATTGCCGTAAACGGAGCTGTAATTGGTAATAGACTAGACTTTCGTTATATTGCCATAAATAAGGGTGGAAAATTATATTGCCAGTGGATCTGCAGGAGTGGAACATTCTTTGAGTTGACAATAAAATTCTCTCATTATATTGCCACAGACAAACTTGAAAGGTTCTAGTAATTGGTTGTACATTATACTCTCATTATATCGCCATACATAAACCTGAAAAGTCCTTATAATTGGTAATACATTAGACTCTCATTATATCGCCACTATGACGTTATAATGAAGGATTGGCAATATAACAAGAGTCTACTATTTCAGATCTGTTTATATTGCAATTAAGAAATGGAAGATGAGAGATCTTAAAATTGAGACGTTTTAATAAGAAAAATATTTCATATTTTGACAATCTGACCAACTTTCTAAAAAAATTACTTTTAGTTGTAACATAAAATTGTAGATTAATTTATTAAAAAATTTGAAACTTAAAATTAAAGGTTATATCCCTCTGCAACCTCGAAATCTTTGTGCGGTTCTCATTTAAACCTCATCATCTAATTTCACCTATTTTTACATTTATTTTACAATCCATCGTCGCCTCAGGTGTTTCACAGAGACTGAAAATGTTAAGTTTGTCTCAACACTACTCGAAGGACATTTTAAACAATTTAAATTAATAGTATTACATTCATTAAATCATCATTAACATTATTTTGTTTCCTTTCACAAATTCGTTTCGAGCAGTGTACGAGCACAACTTTGGCGGGAAATTCAAATCGTCAATTCACGAATGTCCATAACGTTTGAATCTCATAAACAACTCGAAAATTGTAACACAGTATTAATGACAGTGAAATTAACGTTGCGTCGAAGTCTTATCACTTTGTCAAACATCGAATCTCGAAGAATATCATTGACTTTAGAGGTTATGATGGAAACTCACGCGGCAAGGAACGCTCGTCTCGAAACCTTTTGTTTGTTCGTGTTTTTCTTTTTAGTTTCAAGGCTTCGGAAGGCAAGCAGGATTTCTAGTTATTTTCGCTATCATCAACGTTTATGTAGAACTGATTAGGTTCGCGTGCGTGTTCGAGACGTGAATGACGCTTGGCGATAACGAAAATCATCGCCCTAATAATAGAGAGCGCCTCGTTTCAAGACGAATCTCTGCTTAACATATCGTTGATAAAACAAAGAGAATGCAAAATCATGGATAGTGATTTTTTCTCGAGGAATCTTTGTACGAGTGAGAATTGAAAATATTTTTGGTGGATGAGTGGTGCAGTGACGTAACTAGGGTGACTGGGGCATTTACAATAGGGATTGGACTTTTTATGTAGTTTGAGGACGTTGGAGTTAGGGTACTTCATATTAGAAATTTAGAAAATTTTAAGTGTTGATGACATGGTCTTAAATATTCAAATTTGTAGACTTACAGATTTTTACTTTTTTATATTTCCAAATTTGATAATTTCCAAGTTTATAACTAGGGTGACTGGGGCATTTACAATAGGGATTGGACTTTTTATGTAGTTTGAGGACGTTGGAGTTAGGGTACTTCATATTAGAAATTTAGAAAATTTTAAGTGTTGATGACATGGTCTTAAATATTCAAATTTGTAGACTTACAGATTTTTACTTTTTTATATTTCCAAATTTGTAAATTTCCAAGTTTCTAATTTTTCAAATTTCCAAGTTTCTAATTTCTCAAATTTCCAAGTTTCTAATTTCCCTAATTTCCATAATTTCTAAATTTTCCTAATTTCCCTAATTTCCCAAATTTCCCAAATTTCTAAATTTCCCAAATTTCCCAAATTTCTAAATTTTCTAAATTCTAAATTTCCCAAATTTCCAAATTTTCTAAATCCCCAAATTCTCGAAATTTCCAAATTTTCTAAATCCCCAAATTTCTCTAAATTTTCCTAAT